AAGCTGGCATGCAGAGGTGGGATAACCACCTGTCTGAAACAGTTCAGGGTTTCCTGACTGAGACTGAGCAGGGGGAGTTAGACCAGAGGTCCCTTCTAGACTTCTGTTATTCTGCAAGAATTCTGCTATTCCGTCTAGGATTTGGTCCTTGGTTTTCACGTGGTCCCACTTGCATTGCCTCCAACGGTTAGTAGAAAGAGTTAAAACGTCTGGGAGAGAATCTCAGTGCGCTTGTTAATTTTGCATTAGGAAAAGGAAGGCAGGAAAGCAAGCTACAGTATAGTTTCCCTTTTTCTTTTTAACTATAGTAAAGATTTAGGGAGATGGGATAATACCTTGGCTTTGCCATCTTCTGCTGGGCTGCTCTGTTTTGGGACATGCTCCTTGCTGTCTTCTACAGACTACACAACAGCATAGATGAACAACACATGCACAAAACACACATGTATATAAAAAGGAAAAAAAAATCAAAAACCTTCCATGCAGTGGTGAAGTGGACATCTTCATTTATTTATTTGTGTTTTTTTTCTTCCAATCCCGCCTTTATTCCTTTCATAGGTAACTCAAGAGGGTCGGCCTAATTATTTTTAATGAAACTACTACACTCAAGCCCTTTTCCTATTTTATAATCTATCAGGGATGACCCAGGATACAGCTGCATTATGGCCAAAATATTTGGAGGGCAAAAGTGAAATATTTTGCCTTAAACAAAATTAAAACGAGTAGCAATTGATATAAATAAAAGTAACATAAAGTGTCCCTGGAAAAACAGAACTTAATACTTGGATTTCTTTCACTAACCTCACTTTGCTTTCTCTTCTTGGTGAACGTGTATCGAATGAAAGTATCTTGCAATAATTCTTGTTTCACCAGAAAATGCCACAATCTCTTAGCTGGCAATGCTGAGTAATCTTTTGATCTATGCGGTGGTGGAAAAAAAAGGAAGGTATTTTATTTCTTTAATCATGTCAAGAACGGATAGAATCAGAACAGTGTTACAAATAGTCACAGATTCTTAAAATGGATCGCCTTTTATTTTTTTGCTGTACAAAAAAAAAATACTGTTTCCTCTTCGGAAATCTCATTTAAGAAGCTGACATCTGCTGTTAAGAAGCATGAATTTAATTCCCTGGAAATAATTAGGTTTAAAACTCAGAATCCTGGCTGCACAAGATCGAGAAGGTTGTTGTTTTCAAAAATGATCAAAGTTGATAAGTACATTCTAAGCATTCCCAGAATAGGGTTTTCAGGAAAAAATGACTTTAACGAGCTGTACTCGTTAAATAATGTCTCAGCATCTGATAGTAAAAGAATTAAGTTACTGTAAGTTGAGTGTTAAAATTTTCTTGGCAAGTGAGGTCAATGTTCCCAGATCTGGTACCTTCCTAATGAGACCACCCCTATTTCTCACTGAATGGTCAAAAGCCATCCTAATTGACCACAGTGATCAAAGGCCATGCTGATTGGAATTCCAGAAGCATCCAAAGGTGCTTTTCCAAAAAACAAATAGATTTTTTTTGGTTTTTCCTCTGAAAACATTTCCCTTCTCATCCAAGAAACTTCTTCCATTCAGTTCTTCGAAGAACGGAAGCTTCTTGGATGACAAGTAAAATGTTTTCAAAGGAACAAAAAAAAAACCAAGAAAGTCCAGTTGCATTTTGGAAAAGCGCCTTTGGGACAACCCTGGATGGTTCAGACTCTCCACAGACATTCCAGAAACTGCGTCTCTAATTCATCTGGAGAAGAATGGTTGGAGGACATGGATTCTCATCAAAGCTTAGAACAGATTCCTCCTGTAAGTCCCTTCCAGTTGTGCTAAGAAAATGGTCCTAGCCAGCTTGGCCAGGAAATCTGGAACTTGGTAGTCCAGGAACAGCTGGAAGATCAACCTCCTCTTTTAAAATAGCGCCTTTCTTACTTAAACGGTGTGTTTTCAGGATCAACCATTGCTTTGATTCGGGCCGCAGCTGCGCCGGCTCCCATCCCATGTTCAGGAAAACAAGTATTGATGTAATCTGGTGGGGGACCTTCAAAGCGATCCATTCTGTCTTGCAGGATCTGTTCCCAATTCTCCAGATTTTTAATCACAGCGGTACCCAGAGGTGATGTGACGGGAAGTTCTGAAATAGGAACATATGTTTGTGGTTTGTTTAATCCCAAACAAAACACACACGCGTTTCTGGACACCTCTGTTTAAGGAAGATTCAAATTCCCAAACATCTCTGCTTTGCTTTATTTATTTAAGATATTTATATTGCCATCTAAATTATAGGGAGCATCTTCTCTGTGTTGTGGTTCGCTCGCAGCCTGTGCAGACAGCAGCGGAATTGGACAGTGGGGAAGAACCAGTCAGGAAATCTGGAGAGGACTCAGAGGAGGGTCCTGCATCCAATGCAGAGATGGGGCCAGGACCGTCTGGGAGTGGGGTGCTGCCTGCGAAGCCTTTGGAGTCTGGCAGCAGCGAGGCAGAGGACACAGGGGAGCCTGTTCCCAGTGTGTGTATGCACAGAGCTGCTAGAAGGTGAGAGCAGCTGAAACAAAAGGGGCGACTTGGGAGTAAGGCTTGGAGATGATTGCCCCTCCCCTAAGGTATAAAGGACAGGCAAAGGTAGAGAAACCTTTGCAGGAAGCAAAGTCATTTGTTGTGTTTGGATTAATCCTTGAAGCTCTGTGTGGACTTTGTATTTTGGTTGTTTTTTTATAATTCATTTGGCACTCTAGTTGTTGGCAGCAATTCAAAGGAAAGAAAGGTGTGTGCTTATCTCAAGGGACTGTTTTGGACTCATTGCCAGCTGGGAATGAACATAATTCCCAGTACTGAAATGAAACCAGAGTTGTTTTAACTAAGCGTGTGCTTAATTACGGTCTCGGGAAGTCTTGATCAGAACACTCTGCTATTTTGTGTTTGTTTTGCAATTTAATCTGGTCTTCAAAATGGCCTCCTGAATGGGGAAGAGTACAATTTGTGACGAGAATAAATTAGACACATTCCATGAATTCATTATTTTTTAATTTGTTGGGTTGAAAGATACAAAGCAAGTCCATCTGATCATGAAAAGATGAATGCAACTCACCAGATAGTTCTAAGCCGGTAATGGGGAAAAAGTTCTTAATATTGTTCAGTGCAAGTTTGACCATTGCCAAATGGATGAGAGCCCAGCTGCAGAAAAGAGGAAATTTAAATGTTTATGCCGTGAAAGGGGGGAAAAAAAATAAGATTTATACTGTGTTCAACTTTTATCATCCAAGCATATTTAAAAAAAAAAATAACAAGAGGAAAGGAATATGTTGAATATATTGAATATTATGTCTACTTGCTCAAAGGTTATGTTTTATTTTTGGATGTTCCATCTTTTACAAGCTAATTCAAGTCCTAACTTTATATACTAGGCTTTTCCAAAGTTGTATAGCTGTATAGACTTCAATTCCCAGAATTCTAGTGTGTCCACTGCTGAGAATTCTGGGAGTTAGTCCTTATCTTTGGAGAGTCCCCAGGATAGGGAATATTTACTGCACCTGTTATTTGGAAAGTAGGTCCCACTTTATTTACTTAAATAACTGCAATCTACTTCTATTTAATGGAGACTTTCTCCTAGGTGAATATCCATTGCATATATCTATACAATACGGAGTTTGTATATAACACCAAATTGCATAGAAGGATCAAAAGGATGTGCTCATTTCACTGCATCTTAGTTAAAAATTCAGGCTTTTTTTTTTTTTTAAAAAAACCACCCTCCATAACTTTGAGAACTGGTTATAAGTCTCTTTGTTCAATGCTATTATAACTCTGAATGGTTGAACAAGTGGTTGATAATCAAGGACTATCTGTATTTGAACTTTCCAACCCCGCCTGCAAAATGTCAAACAAATTTTGTAGATGATTCAACTCTGGGGCACCTCCAACATTTCCCAGAAAACCAGTGAATCTTGGGAAATTTTGGCTTGGAAAATATGTCTGTTTATTCATTTGAATGAATGATGGTCTTCAGTCATTCATTCAAATGATGTGTTTCCAACTCCTACCACCAAGTGCCAAGACAACACAACAGTGGGCTAGAATTACAAGTGTCAAGGCAACACAACCATGGGCTAGAACGACAGGCGCATGTAGGCTTTGGGTGAGCTTCTAAATGCTCCAGCTTGGTAGTTTGCTACCTGTATGAATTGGCATCCTTGTGCTCCTGAAGCTGCGCATCAGAGAGGAAAGCATCCTCGTCTTCATCCTCGCTATGGATGCTTTCATCAGAATCGTACATCACCCCACTGTCTGAAAAAGGAAGGAAGGGCTGTAAAGGAAGGACAAAGAGAGAGGTTTCAAGACTTGCACTTCCAGATCTCATCCGCACAAATGAAATTGCTTCATTTCAGAGACACAGGAGGACTTCAGATGTCATTAAAAAAAAAAGTGCCCTTGTGGGAAGAGATGTTCAACATCAGAGGAGGTAACTTAGGAGATAATGGACTCTCCTTCAGGGGCTGGATGATGATGAGGAGATGCCATTCATCATAATTCCTACATTAAAAAAGGGGTTAGATGATCTTGGGATCCTTCTAACTCTTCCCTTTTAGGATTCTATGAAAAGGATCAGAAGGGATTCCCAGAATTGAACCGGACCTACTTCTTAGAAAGAGTAGAAGAGAAGAGCAACAAAGATAATTAGGAGATTGGAGGCTAAAACATATGAAGAATGGTTGAAAGGAATTGGATATGTCTAGTTGGATGAAAAGAAGGACAAGGAGTGACATGATAGCAGGGCTCCAATATTCTAAGGGGCTGCCACAAAGGAGAGAGGGTCAACCTATTCTCCAAAGCACTGGAGGCGAGACAGGAAGCAATGGATGGAAACTAATCAAGGAGTAGACAAGATGGACAAGAGATCAAATCAAGGAGAGAAGCAACTGGGAATTAAGGAGAAACTTCCTAACAGTGAGGACAATTAACCAGTGGAACAGTTTGCCTTCAGAAGTTATGGGTGCTTCATCACCAGAGGTTTTTGAGAAGAGACTGGACAGTCCCTTGTCTAAAATGGTCTAGGGTCTCCTGCTTGAGCAGAGGGCTGGACTAGAAGACCTCCAAGGTCCCTTCCAGCTCTATTCTGATTGATTGACTGATTGCTATAGGGTTTCCTACTTGAACAGGGGATTGGAGTAGAAGACCTCCAAGATGTCTTCCCACTTTTGTTCTTCTGATGTTCAGGGGGAGCTTACCTTAGCCACAAAATAGTCTAACATGCTGAGTTCTGGAGGGATGAATTTTTCTTTATAAGAAGGTCTTTCTGCAGGGACTGGGGGAGGGACCACACTCTCTTTGACGGGTCTTCCAGGCACCAACATTCTCATGTTGAATCTCCGCCGATGCTTGTCTGTCTCTTCTGAAGGGACTGGAGGAGCTAAGCCGAGAGAGAGAGAGAGGGGGGGGGAGGGAAGGAGGGAGGGGAGAGAGAGGGAGAGGGAGAGAGTTGAAAGAAATACACGGATTCATGATAAGGACAAATTGGCACATTCATCATTGATTCCATAGTGTCAATTTCAGTCTTCAAAAAGAGAGCACATCATACCAGTTGTAGAGGTGCAAATATAGGAAGATCACATGGAAACTACACTTAGAATTTAAAAACAACAGATTCTGGTAATCTTCAGGAACAGCCTATGAATGAGGTTCACCAGAATCCTGGAAGCTGTGGGTTATTCTTGCCACGTAATCTTTTGAAAATAATCAATACCTGTTCATTGTCAACCACACAAAGTGGAATCTTTTCAGAAGAATTAACAAGGCAGCGCTGAAGATTACTCTTATTTTACTGCAAACACGCTCAAATTTCAACAATACAGATCTATCTACATCGGATCTACCTATCTAATACAAACTACTGGCAAGTTGATCAAATATTGTCAAATCTCAGTCAAAACAGGATTAAAAAGAATCCCTTCAGCAAGAATTTTTTTTTTTAAAGGCAGAATTTCCTCCTGATTACCTCAAGTGCAAAATATTCTTATTCTGAAGTTTGTTTTTTCATCTCTTTTTAAAAGAACTGTATGAGCAGGGGCAGGTTGAAATATTTCTTCATCAAAATAAAGATTCAATGGGTTCTCTCTCATGGGAATATCTTGTAAAGCTCAGTGGTAAAATAGTTTAAAATGCAAAGATAAAAATTGATGTGTGATTTTAGAGGTCTGTTCTTAAATGTGACAAAGTAGGTGATCTAATGCAAATTTATCCTCATATAGTATTGTATCCTAGAATCTTATTTCTTGAACAGATTGTATAGGCTTTTGTTCTTCTACAAGCCAAGAAATTTTGATTTAAGATATTGGAGATGGAACAGATCAACAGCCCAGTTTTATCCTCACACTGTTTGTAAGGCTGTTCTTTGCTGCATACAATATTTGACAACATTTGACTACACTACAAGCCACCTAAAACTTGATTGAACAAGTTTCATTCTTCACACGAGTAGGATTAGACTACATGGCAATCCCACACAGACCTTCCGTAGTGTCCTGTGTATCACCAGAAACTGGATCGGCTACTGGATTTAAAGAAATGTTAGAGGTGAAAAACAAAACAAAATATTGTAGAAATTAGAAGAAAAGGAAGCAGTGGAATATAATTTAGAAGCTAGCTTTTAAAACACTGTTTTAGAAAAGTGAACAAGGTCTAATCCAGGGGTGGGATTCTACCAGTTCGCACCTATTCACTAGAACCGGTTGTTAACATGCTAAGCAGTTCGGAGAACCGGTTGTTAGAAGAAATTACTGGACTAATCCTGTACGGAAGGCAGGAAGGAAACATTCTGGTGTTGCTTACAGAAACTGCCTCTCCATTAACCCTTATTACATTCTTGGCATGACTAGACTTCCTGTCTCTGGAACTTCTCTGGAGTTTTTTTCCCCCTCCTTTGCTGGTATTTTGCTTGTGTGGAGTGACCATTCAAAGTTACAATGGCACTGAAAAAAGTGACTTATGACCATTTTGCACACTTACGACTGTAGCAGCATCCCCACAGTCATGAGAGGCCAGGCGAGGAGATCTGTGCCTTGATGTGAGTGATATCGAGTTGGCCACATCCAGCCAGTCACATGACCACCAAACCATGCCCACCAACTAAGCCATGCCCACAGAACCGGTTGTTAAAAAATTTGAATCCCACCCCTGGTCTAATTGTATGTCAGGATTTGCTAACCCACTCTAATTCTAATCTAATCCCAATTCTAATGTCTAGATTAACTCTGGAGGGAAGAAAAATCTAGACAACATGACACCCCAAATTGTTTCTTAAAAAAGAAAGGATAGAAAAATAACACACAGTCCCTATTATGGTTCATAAAAGGTAAAAAGGTTCCCCTCGCACATACATGCTAGTCGTTTCCGGCTCTGTGGTCATGTGGCCAGCATGATTAAATACCTTCAAAGGCACACGGAACGTTGTTACCTTCCCTGTTTTTTCTACTTGCATATTTTTTACATGCTTTTGAACTGTTAGATTTGCCGAAACTGGGACAAGTAATGGGAGCTCACTCTGTTACACGGCGCTAGGGATTCGAACCACCGAACTGCCGACCTTTTGGATCGACAAGGTCAGCGTCTTAGCCACTGAGCCACCGTGTCCCTGTTATGGTTCAAAAAAAATCTCCAATTATGAAAAAAGAAGACAGAATAACAGATCAAGGAGAACAGGTGATGCATCTCAGACCAAAGGGAAAGATTAAAACCCATGCAACAGATCCAGGACTGGACCTGTTTTTAGAGGAGGATAAAGCACATGCCCACCAGCACACGTCTTCCTCACCATCCTGCTGCAGCAGAGAGTAACTATCACAGCCAGCAGTGGTTTGGTTGATGCCTGATAAAGCTGTGTGGTGAGGCGACTGTGAATTGCCAAAGGGCGTTATGGTTTCTGCGTTGGTCGTTAAGTGTGGCGGTTTATTTGAATTGAACAGATTAGAAGAGGAGTGGTTTTCACGGTCTGTGGAATGGAACCATGTATGTTTGCGTTGTGATAGTGGGCAGAAAACAGGGATGTTTGGTTAAAAAAAACTTAAGCTCTCTCTTCCTTCGCAATAAATAAACCTCCAACTCTCTCTCAATGTAAGAAAGTTTAGTTTAGTTTACTTTCTTGTTATTGAGCCTCGTACAATGAAATCAAACACCATCTTCAGTGCACATCATGACCATGAAAATAAACACAAACACATATCCTTCACACTCCACACATCGAACTGAAAACCCCCAACACCGCACCCACACTCCACTATACAGTACAATTCAAGAGAGTTACTGCCCTGGGATAGAAGCTGTTTTTCAGCCTATTTGTCCTTGTTTTTATTATCCTGCACCGTCTGCCAGATGGTAATAGTAAAAAAAAGGGTTCCCAGGATGAGATAGATCTTTGAGAATGTTTTGAACTTTCTTAAGGCAGCGGGAGCTATAAAGCTCTTTCAAAGAGGGGAGAGGGCAACCCATGATCTTCTGGGCAATGACATTAACCCTCTGGAGCGCTGTCCTATCTGCCACTGTGTAATTGGCAAACCCTACACATGTGTAGTAAGTTAAGATACTCTCTATGGTGCAGAAGCAGAAAGTCACCAGCAGTTTTTCATTCAGTTGTTGTTTCCTTAAAAGTCTCAGGTAGTCTAATCTTTCCTGGGCCCTTTTGACCAGGGCTGCAATGTGAGCACCCCAAGTCAGGTCCTCTTTTATGGTAACACCCAGAAACTTAAATCTGGCCACTTGTTCCACTCGGTCTCCATTGATAACCAAGGGCTGGATGTCTGATCTATTCCTTCTATAGTCCACTATAAACTCCTTGGTCTTATTGGTGTTGAAGATCAAGTTATTGTCTCCACACCACGAAAGCAACCGGCCCACCTTATCTCAGTAGGCAGACTTATCCATCCTGGAGATGAGTCCCACCAAAAAAGCCATTGTCTAAGTGCTGGCTCTTTTGTCCTGCTCCTGTCACATGTTTAGGTAATAGACAGGTAATATTGAAATGAAACCACGGTGTGATTTGTCTAATGTGGTTTGAGATGCTGTGGCTTGCTTAGAACCCACACAAGGCAGCTGTCAGGATTCCAGCAATCATGATTCTAATGAAATCACGATTCTTGAGCCAACTTCAAAAAACTTCAAAGGATTTATTAGAGGCGACATACTGGCACTGCCCTATATGCAGCCAACTCTGGCATATGTAATTTACAGTCATCTGTGATCTTGTTTCCCCCCTCCCCCCATCTCATAAACCAGTTTCTCCAATTGAGCACGTTCACTGGCTGAGTGTCATCATTCACGTTCTACAATTAAATATATATGCGAGCAAAAACTCTGGTATTTTAGTTACAATCTTTTAAAGATAAGAGTTGGAATGTACTTTCGCCTTCAAACTGCTGCACTGCTCTTCCAGATCTCCATCCTCTCCCCCCCCTACTTTTTAATGGCAACTACTAAAACAGGCATAGGAATGTTTTATGAGTTGACAGCCAACAGAGCTTAGCAGAAGGTCAGTTGAAGGTCCAACCCACCAGACTTCCAACTCAACATCTTCTGAGGTTCTACCAACTTCTGCTTTATGAACTGTTGCTTATTGCTAGACGGCCTAGAAACTTACAAAAATGTTATGTATACTCCATATTCAGTACTTCTGACAGTAGTTAAAACCTCTCTTGAGCATAAGTTGTTGACAACACAATTGTGTTCGCATTCCTCCAATTTTTCCCCATAAAAACAAGAATTGGGGGTAGGGCCAAAGTTCCTTAGTGAGCTTCCATGGCTAAGGTGGACTTCAACCAGGATCTCCCTGCTCCTAGTCTCACCCCTACATCAGTTCTCCATAGACCTTCAATTTCCCGCTGTCTTCTTCCAAGAGGTTTTTTTCCAACTCTAGACCAGCTGATGGTCTTCCTGTTAGTGTTCTCTTGTCCAAGTTTGAACGAAATCTAAGCCTGATTTATGCTTATACAGTTGCATGTGCCAGATGTTTCCACCTGGTCTTCTCTTATTCCTAGCTGCTTCCCCATCCTGCCTGCCAGCACACTGCAGACTATGAGGAAGAGACACTATGAAGTCCACCTCAAAAAAAAAGTGCATTAATGTAATTTTTTCAATAGGCCTTTTGAAAACCACCTCTTTAAATCTCGGCATAGGAAAGATGTAATTTAATCTTGGGGAAAGAGCCTTGGGGAGGCAGAAAACTCAACCTTGATTTCAGGACTAGGTAGGCATCCATTCTGATTGTGAGAACTTCTCCTTAATCCTTGGAAGAGTTACCTGGAATATTTTCTGATTGCCGCCTGGGTTTAACCACAAGTTTCACGCCTCCTCCAAAGATGGCTGCCCACATTCGATTGTTCAGAGGATGTGCTGCCAGCCGGAATAATTCATTGGAAGCATTTATCGCCAGAGCATGGATGAGAAGACTCAAATACACGGCCACCACAGCTTCACAAAGCAAGATGTTTAACTTTGGCTGATCCTCATCTTGGGCTGAATTTAAGAGATTGAGGAGGGAGCTTACACCTGGGAAAAGAAAACAGTGAGCTGGTGATGGGCACCATCTAGACCAGGGGTCGGCAACCTCAAACACTCAAAGAGCCACAAAGGTCCTAACCGGATGCCTCCCGTTCAATTCTGGAGCTGACCAGAAGTCCGTTTCTCCCACCATAGAGTCTTCCGGTGCAGCATCCTTTTTCCTCTGCCAACTGGAAGTCCAGTTTCCCCACCATAGAGTCTCCTAGCAGGGCGTCCTTTTTCCTTTACCTGTCCTCGCTGAAAGCCCTATCAATTGTGGAGATGACCAGCAACCGGCAGCAGAGGGATGGAAGAGCCGCATTCACATTCACCATGAATGATTTGCCATGGGCCAACTTGCCATGGGACAATTTAACAATTCAATTTAATTATTTTAAACAAATAAAAAGTTATTTTAATTTTTGTCGTTCACATTTCAGTTTGTCCTTCCTTTTGCATCTTTTCTTTAATGATTCTATTCCACCATTTCTTTGATATTACTGTTAACTTTTGTCCCACGGCAAGTTGACCATGGCAAGTTGGCTGAGTTGGCCATGATGAGTTGGCCATGATGAGTTGGCCATGATGAGTTGGCCATGGTGGATTGTCGTAGACCCCCATCTAAAGGTGGCTTCTTCTGCCTGGATTAGTCTGCAAGGCCAGCCACAGGACCTCATATTAAAGCATTGTTCAAAATCTCAATCTATCAAAAGAAGGACTTTTAAACACATGCTTCATGTACTCAAAAAAATGAGTGAGCTAAATTTAGGGAAGAAAGGTTAACAATCCTTTTCAAAATTAGAATAGAATAGAATCTTGAAGGGATCTTGGAGGTCTTCTAGTCCAGCCCCTTGTTCACGTAGGAGAACCTATACTATTTCAAATAAGCGGCTGTCTAGTTTCTTCTTAAAAACCTCCAGTGATGGAGTGCGCCCACGATTTCTGGGTGCAAGCTGTTCCTACTGGTTAATTGTCCTCACTGTTAGGAAGGTTCTCCTTAATTCCAGGTTGCTTAATAGCTTTCTAGAAGCTCAGAGGATCCTACTAAGCAATCAAGAAGATAAGCATAAGGGCAGGCAACACAATTCCAAAACAGAACTTGCCTGATTCAGCCGTTATTGGAAAAGTTCTGAGATTAAAATGGTACCAGTGCAGCTCAAAATCCTCGTTTTCAGAGTGAAATCTAACTAGCATGACAGTTGTATGGAGATGTTGACATGGGCAACTTTTCTTACCAGGCCACTGGGCAGGCAGTGAATTTGGCGTGACGTGTTCTTCGATGCTCTCTGTCCTCAGACGCCGACGGTCGCTTAACAGCAGTCCTTGGTAAGCCATTCCTGTGAACTGATTTGTTTCTGTCTGACTGCTAAGAAGAAGTTTTAATTTTTTCTTCACCTCAGAATAGAAAATCTTACACCAAAGCAAAATTGGCAAATTAGTGGCAGGGTGCAGGTCAGGGTGGGAAGCATAAAAACTCGTGAGCCAAAAGCTCTAGAATGGCCTAAATAAGATAACACACACACATACACACACACACTATAAGCAGCTTTTCAATGCGTATTTCTGCAAACAAAAGCAGGTGAAACAGACTGGGCTCCGTTGATTTATTGACCAGGATGCTGCAATGCTTCGATTGGATGATTCTATTCAGGGGTGATTTGATTGCAACATCCTGTGAGTCCTTGCAAATAGTTCCAACCAAGAAACCAAGGTTATCAATAGCAATACTACTTTTATTACAGGCAATCCTTGACTTATGGCCACAATTGGGATCAGAACCTCCGATGCTAAGCAGGGCAGTTGTTAAATGAGTTCTGCCTGCTTGGAAGGTAAAAAAAAAAAATGGTGATCACATGACCTCCCCAATAGATGCCAAACTCCTGAATTTCAATCATGCGACAATGGGGAATGCTGTGATGGACATAAGTGCAAGGACTGGTTGTAAGTCTCTTGTTTTCAGTGAGTTTGAACCATTGCTAAGTGAATGGTTGTAGATTGAGGACTACCTGGGTTACAGTAGCAAAATCTAATAATTCTGACTGCAACTGTCCTTGCCTTTGCGTTCAAGAGGAGCAGGAAGGGTGAAATGCAACATGTTTTCTCAAAAGTACACAACTGCTTTGGACTCAGTTTTCACTTATCTAACCTTTGTTTTCATTGCAGTTCTTGTTCCTGTTCCTCAAGGTTATTCCTAGAGACCCTTGCATATCCTTTGAGCCACACCTTTACCTCCATCAAGAACATGCCTTCTAATTATCTGAGCCGCAGTGGCATAGTGGTGCAGTGGTTAGAGTGCGGTACTGCAGGCTACTTCTGCTGACTGTTGGTTGCCTGCAATTTGGCAGTTCAAATCCCACTGGGCTCAAGGTTGACTCAGCCTTCCATCCTTCCGAGGTGGGTCAAATGAGGACCCAGATTGTTGGGGGGCAAAAGGCTGACTCTCTAAACCTCTTAGAGAGGGCTGTAAAGCACTGTGAAGTGGTACATAAGTGCAATCGCTATCGCTAACTGGAAGATTGAATGGATTTCCAGGTAAGGCTGGAACTATGGCGGTCAAAATCCACAAGACGAAAGGTGCAGTGTCACAGTTCCAATCACAATTTGCAATGTGCGTAGAAAAGGGGCAGGACCTGGATCAGCTTCCATCCTGCAGATTTTGACTACCAGCCGCAGAACCCACAAGATGGGGACAATTCAGATATTTTTTTTCAAATCTCCGAATTCAAGTTACCTGTTTTGGTAACTTGAACTCAAACCAAAGCGACTCATGAAACAAATACATCAAGCTAGCTCTTGTTTACCGCTCAACAAAACAACAACCCCAAAACAGTCTCTATCCTTCCATCCAGGTCCTGCCTTTTGCTCTAAGGGAGCACAATTAGCATTGCAACACATCTGTGGCCACCTCATGTTTCATCCCACAAAGGAGAACAACAGAGCCATGCTGGGGAGAGGAACACAGCGAAGGAAATCTTACCTGTAGCTATGGCTGTCACATAAGGCTTGATAAATCGATGCAGAGAGGGAAGCAGCTAAAGAATAAAGAGTATGGACCTAAAAAATGGAAGCAAGAAGAAAATGGATTAGGATATCACGAATACATTTCCAGGGTGAATTGTTGCCTCTAGGCTTGAAATGTTGGGCTTGGACAATCTGGAACTGTACTGTCTGCGCTCCGATCTAAGCATGGTACACAAAATTGTCTGCCTCAATGTCTTGCCTGTCAACAGCTTCTTCAGCCTCAACCACAATAATACACGGGCAAACAACACTGCTCCAACTCAAGGTAAACTGCTCCAAACTCAATTGCAGAAAATATGACTTCAGTTACAGGATGGTCAGTGCCTGGAATGCCCTACCCGACTCCGTTGTTACAGCTTCAACCCCTCACAGCTTCAACCTCAAACTCTACCGTGGACCTCACCCCATTCCTAAGAGGTCCTTAAAGGGGGCATGTATAAGCGCACCAGCATGTCTACCGTCCCTATTTTACTGTCCCCATTTATCTGTATTTACTCCCTTTGTTCTTGTTTATGTTCATATCTATACTTGTTATCTTGTACATACAAGATAACAAACAAACAAACAAATAAATATTTGACTTTCCAAGCAAAAGTTCTCTACAAAGAAAGCAGCTGTATTCAATGCTGGATCAACAATGCTGGGTCAATGCTGCTTTAATAAGTCTGCCACCTGTTATATATGAATTGGCCTGGTGCAACAATCAGAATGTCAGACCTGGAACATGAACAGAAGCCGAATTGTACGTCACAATCAGGGAGAGCGACTGGACCACTTAACATTTTCTCAGAAGGGATTTAATTTAGGATTGGGAAACGGGAGCTTGTCGGGCAGGGGTTCCAAACTTAGCAACTTTAAGACTTGTGGGCTTCTAGTCCCAGAATTCCCCAGCCAGCACAATCTCCATAATATAAGGAAAAATCCTAAACTAAACAAACCAGGTATTTTAAAGCAGAAGGCTACAGGGAGACATGAGAGTAATTTTCCAAAAGTTGAAGAGCTATCCTAGGGAAGAAAGTATGGATTTATTTTTCGTGGTCCCCAGGGATAAGACAAAAAAAAAAAAAAAACAATTGGTGGAGGTTTTACAAAGAGAGAGAATCAAACTTTGATGATCTTGGGAGCTCGTAAGCATGAAACAGTCTGTCTCTTGCAGTTGGAGTTCTCCATCACTGGAGGCTTTCAAGCAAAGGTTGGACAACCACTTGTCTGGGATAGTGTGATTAGTGCTTTGCTTTGGGCAGAAGGTTGGATGAAAAGACTTCCAAGAACTCTTCAAACCTTATGATTCAGCTGGATCTCTACTATATGTAGCACCTGCCAATACAGCCAACAAGGAGGAACGCTGGGAGTTGTAGTTCAGCAACACCCAGAAGACCATGCCTTCCAATTTTTGCACAGGGGAGTAATGCGGCAGTGTTGTGGTTAGCTGGCAGCAGGTGCAGATGGCTGAGGAGAGCGATGACTCTGATGAGGGGCCAGGACCATTAGGGAATGGACTGCTGCCTTCAGAGATTGTGGGGGCTGGCAGCAGCAATGAGGAGGTTCCCGAGGAGCCTGTGCCAAGTGTGTGTGCGCGCAGGGCTGCTTTCAGGAAAGAGCAGCTGCAACAGCACAGGAGACTCGGGAGTAAGGCTGCAAGGTAATGGCCCCTCCCTCAAGAGGATAAAAGCCAGGTTTGAAAAAGTGTTCTTTGCAGAAAGCAAAGAAGCTCTGAAGCTCAACTTGTGGACATCTTAGTTCGTGTTTGGAGAATCTTGTAAATTAGTTCTTATCTCTGGGTTTTTGGTAGCCTTGACGGACAACTTGGCAAGGCTCTTTTTTATCAGAGCTAATTAGTGGAAAGCAGCCTTTAATCTGTAAAGGAACAGAATTCGTCATTAAACCTTAAAAGGTGGGGGCTGCTGCCTTTGTCTGTGTTTGCTCTTTGGGGTTCCGGTTGGGTCAGAACAGGCAGATCCAATCCAAACTCATATAGACCTGACGTTAAATGCCCACTTCTTTGAATCTGCCCCTTCGGCACTCAAGGCGGACTTTCCCATTTGATTACCTTGACATCTTCGACGTTGGGATGTGGGGGCATTTTCATCTGGACAATCGTGTAGAGGATATCGTGGATGTGGTTGTTTAAGTAGAGGACGGGGTTGGCGATCACAGTTTTTGTGGCAGCGATGCTGGCTGAGAGCAGCGGTAATGTTGTGGGAAGCGGAAGTGGCGACTGTAGTTGTTTGACAGTAGTTTCCTGATGGGAGGGGGGAAAAATGGCAGAACTGGGAATATATCATTGCTCTTTAAAAAAAAAAAAATATTAAAAGTTTTGCAAAGGATGTAAAAACCAGCAAGAACAAATAGTGAGCAAAAGCAGTAAAGAACCAGAAAGGAAAAAAAATCAGAAAGAATAAAAAGAAATATAGAGAAGCAGCTTGTTACTCTACAGCAGGGGTCTTCAAACTTGACAGCTTGTTGACTTGTGGTCTTCAACTCCCAGAATTCCTCCTCCAGTCATGTTAGCTCAGAAATTCTGGGAGTTGAAGTCCACAAGTCTTAAACTTGCCATGTTTGAAGACCCTTGTGATAGATGGTAGATAGATGATAGATAGATAGGTAAATAGGTAGGTAGGTACAGAGAGAGAGAGAGAGAGAGAGAGAGGGAGGGAGAAAGAAAGAGATGATAGAAAGATAGGTGATAGGTGATAGATCAGGGGTCTTCAAACTTGATAGCTTTAAGACTTGTGGACTTTAACTCCCAGAATTCCTGTTAGCTGAGGAATTCTGGGAGTTGAAGTCCACAAGTCTTAACCTTGCCAAGGTTGAAGACTTTTGCTCTACAGTTACAAAAAAAAAACCCCTTCACATTTTTCTATTATCCATTTCTTTCTGATCTTCAAAACACAAATCATAAATGCATCTTTTTCCTTTTTCCTTTAGGCAAAGAGCTTACCAGTAGAGTCTTCGAATTAGGGCCATAACTGAGCCCCAAAATTTTCTGCTGCTGATCATGACAATGGTTCAGTGAATTTTGCCTCATTTTACAATGTTTCTTGCCACAGTTGTTAAAACGAGTGACACGGTTGTTAAGTGAATCTGGCCTCCCGGTTGATTTTGCTCACCAGAAGGTCACAAACGGGGATCATATGACCCCAGGGACACTGCGACCTCATAAATATGAGTCAGTGGCCAAGCATCTGAATTTTGCTTTATGTGGCCACAGTGATGCTGCAACGGTCTTAATGTGAAAAATAGTGCTTTTACATCCCTCTCTAAGCGGCTTACAGAGTCAGCCTCTTGCCCACAACAATCTGGATCCTCATTTTACCGGCCTCGGAAGGATGGAAGGCTGAGTCAATCTTGAGCGGGTCAGGATCGAACTGCTGGCAGTGGGCAGAGTCAGCCTGCAATCCTGCATTCTAACCACTGCGCCACCACAGAAGGAAGGAAGGGAGGAAGGAAGGAAAATAGCAGTAGCTCTTACTTATATACTGCTTCACAGTGCTTTTACAGCCCTCTCTAAGCGGTTTACAGAGTCGGCCTCTTGCCCCCAACCACCTGGGTCCTCATTTTACCGACCTCGGAAGAATGGAAGGCTGAGTCAACCTTGAGCCTGGTGGGAATTTGAACTGCCAAATTGCAGGCAGCCAGCAGGCAGCAGAAGTAGCCTGTAGTACTGCACTCTAATCACTGCGCCACAGAGACTCCTGCTAAAATGGTCCAAAGTCACTTTCTTCAGTGCTGTTGTAACTTTGAACGGTGACTAAATGAATAAATGTAAGCTGGGCACTACTTGCATAAGGGGTTTCAATGCAGAAATGTAGCGATGATGCTACATCCTCAGGTGAGCCTTCTTACCTGCTGAGATTCCTGTAACAAGAACTTCAGCTCCATTCTGACGGAAGCCAGGCCGCCCCCCTGTGCCCCGTGAAGGCTGCAATAGCTTAGGAAAACCCGGAGAAGCGCCTGGTTTTTCTGCAGCCACCATTTCCGCCGCTCTGCGTGCTCTCGCTTGCTTTGCAGCCGCCGCCGCTCGACCTGATGCCACTCGTAGGAGCCCGACGGCATCTTCTCCCCCATCTCTGGGTGGCCCAAGAGATCCCCGCTGACTTGGCTCTCGGCTTGGCCGTCGTCTTTGCCCTGGGTTGCCTCGTGGTTGCAAATTTCGTGCAAGGCGGCGATTTCTTTCTCCAGCCAGTTGTACAACTGGAACCGGAGCTTCCCGCCATCTACTTCGTAGCCAGTGGCCAACGTTCTCAACTCCGTCATGAGGATTTTTAGGCAGGCCCGGAACTTGAGCTGTTCGGCAATCACGTCGACCTCCGTTTTGTCGATTTCACCTTCCTCACCTTGACTGGGGTCAGGACTTTTGACCTCTTGTTCTTTACTTTCTAGGTCATTCATCATCAAACCTTTCTCTTCTTCCTCATCAAGTAAACTGCTTTGGTCATTCCCCCAGTCTAGTTTCAGAGGTTCATCTTCAAAGGTTATCAATGGTTTGCTCCAGTCAACCAGGGAGGAAGCTTCCGTAGTGCCCACCGGCTGTGACCAATCTGCCGTGCTGCCTTTGTCTAACGCATTTGGGTCTGCCTTCAGACCATTCTGCATTAGTGGAGTGGGTTCTCCTTTCTTGGCTGTAAGTGTGGACTTGCTTCTTATTTTGGGAAGCTTTGAAAGCACTTCCAGTGCCAGGACAGGGCAACCGACTTTGAAATGAGCATTTGCAGTGGTGAAGAAGAGTTTTCGTTCAATGAGATTAATTTTGTCCACAAAACTTTTATCCGCTTGCAACCCCAATGTTGCTAATGTCCCATCGGGCGAGCAGAAATTCCTTCGGATGAGCAAAGGGTGGGTACGCAGATAGTTGTAGAAACTGAACACCACGGGGTTGCAGGATTTGACAATAACTAGGGAAAATGGAAACAAATGGTCGTTGAGGCTTACATTGAACATCTGTCACATCAAATTTGGCAGCTTAGTGGGCCCTTTGAAAAATACCTGTGGGTCCCAATCAAGAAAGGCACCAAAGGTGTTTTTTCCCCAAAGATCGCTGGACTGTTTTTTAATTATTATTATTTTTTCTCCTTTGAAAAACATTTTGCTTCACATCCAAGAAGCTTCATTGGTTTCTGGTGGGAATGGAAGTAGTTAGAATGAAGAAGCTTCTTGAATGAGAAGCAAAATATTTTCAAAGAAAAAAAACAACAAGAAAGTCCAGTTGCCTTTTGGGTCAAACAGGACCTAGATTGGGGTGTCAAACTCAAGGCCCGTAGAGGCGTTCTGGTCTACCCAGTGCAAAGATGAAAGATCAGGCCAGCCTGGCTTCGGTCCAATCTACCCAATGCAAAGAGGAAACTTGTCAGACATTTGGGGAGTAGGGTCAAGCTGGCCATGCCCACCCAGTTGGCCACACTCAACCAGTCAGCCACACCTACCTAGCCCCCCAAGGTCAACCACAGCCCTGATGTGGCTCTCAATGAAATTGAGTTTGACATCCCCTGACCTAGATGATTGAGGCTCTCCACAGAATGTTATTTGTTGGCTTTGAAGCTGCTACAAGTTCTCTGTGTGATCTATGGCAGATGGGTGGCTAGTTGGTTAATTACACACTCTTGCAATTTCTGGTAGATCTTGCAAAGCTGCTGATATGTAAGTCTTCACCCAAATGAATCTAGAGTCGATTAAGACACATTTTTCTGAACACATTTATGAATGAACCTATTCAGGAGATCCCCAACAATCTCCTCTGAAGTGACCCATAATTATGTAAATCTGAATGAGTTTGTACAAAGCAATAGCAAAGTTAACCACATTAAGGGTTCTGATAAACATACGTGACTACTAGCATCTTGTGCAACAAATACATCTTTAGAAGAGAATATCTCTGGCTCACAATTGAACTCTGTGCCCTTGTTGCTCTCTGTCTGAACTTGGTTGCCCTGATGATGTTACTTAGTTGGATAATGAAACGCCTGCAAGAAACCAACCAAGCTCAGAGGCCGCCAAAGACTCCACAATTCTATCTTTCTACATTGCCTATTCAAGACTGAGCTTTTCGACATTTCTTCACCTGGATTTTCATCTTCTTCTTTGGGGGTTTGTTCCAGTAAGGTGTCAAGGGCTCTTGTGTACTCTTTCATTACCCAGTAGGCCAGACTTCTCAGGAAAGGATCTGGATGCAAATTTGTGCAACAGAACCCAGTTCCATCTTTCTTACAGCCCAAAATTTTTTCATAAAGAATGGCTGTGTAGGCGGAGGAGATTTCAAACTCAGACTCATACAAGCGAGCAATTATTAAAGCCAGCTGGATGTCTTCCATCTTCTCAAGACATACCTGTGGGTGGGAAGGGAAACACAGACAAGGTCTCCTATATTTCAAATAGTTTATTTATATATATAAAAACAAAATTATAACACCCCTTCCGGTTTGACAGGCTTCGGAGGCAGCAGGAATTCGCGTTTGTGCGCGATCCCTGCTGCGCTCGCTGCTGGAGTGCCTTCGATCCAATTGGATTAGGAGGCTATAGTTATCCTGTAGGGATAGCTGAAGAGAGGGGAGATCCGGGCAGGGGTCGGGGGATATCACACATCCCCTTCCCAGCCGGCTTAACTCCCTTTTCCAAAGGTGGTGGAGCGACGGTCAGCAATGGCCGTCACAAAGAACCTCTCAGCCGGACAAGTTAGGTGCTGGAGGAAGTGAAGACAGAGAAAGCTTTTGGCTGAACCGGGACGACAATTAACATCTGAATACCCTGGAACTTTGGCTTTTTAAGTGATATATTGTTTCCCAGAAGACCGTTAAGCTGCGGTGGAAAGTAAAGGGAAAGTTTTTTCTCTCCTCACTTTCCTTCCCACGGAGACAGCAGATGGAAATCGGAAATACCCTCTTTGGCAGCAGAAGGTACTAACTTTCAAAATTGAAGCCAAGGGGACATTAGATTTCTAAACACTGATATTTAAAAATTTAAATCTTTTTGCTTTAAGTGGGAAGGAAGAGAGATAAATGATTTATACTAATGTTTGTTGAAGGAGACTGCTTGGAGTTTTATAAGATTAGAGATTAAATCGCAATAAAACTTCAAAAAAAATGCCTTGGAATTGTGTAATTGAATTTTGCCCCAGGAAGAGAAAGTAGAAGAAAGTGAAACAGACTGTGCTGATTGTACTGATTTTGATTGCTTGATGACTTTGGGACCTTAACTATCTTTTGAAAGACTAAGAAAACATTTGGATTGTCTAAAAAAAAAATTTCTTTCACAATGGTATCTGTTGAAGAACTGAAAATGCAATTTGAAAGATTAAGAGAAGAGGAAGAGGAAGGCAAAGGTTCTTTTGGATCTATCCTTTGCTTTTTAGAAATGGCGATTTCTGCTTACCAGGAAATGCAACAAGAAAAAGGCTGGGATGATGATGAAGAAGCCATCTTTAATGGACATATGATTTTAAAAAAGGGTAAAAAGGAGAAGAAAATGAAGAATTTAAGTTCTAAAAAAACAACCAAGAAAGGGAAAAGTAAGGTGAAAAATCGATACAATTATAGAAAGCAACAGAAAAGAGGAATACAACAGAGAGGGGAGATTAAAAAGTTGGAGATTGAGAGAGGTGGGGGTAAAAAGGTTAGATTTGACAAGGAAGGAAGGGATAAAGTGAAGGGAAGTTATAAAGGCTTAAAACAAGATGTTAATAAACAATTTTTTTTCAGAGATAAAGAGTAAAACATAATCTAAAAAGAGATTCTGCAAAAGTACATAAGATTGTATTTTAGTATTTGTATTTGAAATATGTGTTAATAGAATACTGTAGGGATTGTGTAATTAATGTGTAATTAGTTTAATTAACTAATTTGTTATGGAACACTATTTTTAATATACTATAAGATCATTATGTTTTATATTTTAAAATGTTATGTAGAATGTACTAAGCAGAATCAGAATAGAAACTATGTATTATTTTAAGTGTTAAATTTTGGGGGAAAATAGAAAGGTGTCATACTTCAACCAGTCACTACAGGAAAAAGTTTGTGTTAAAGAGAAAGATAAATGGATAATTGAAAAAGAACGGACAAAAGATACAAGTGTAATGATTTAAATTGAGATTAATAAATAAAATAGAATTAAGAGAGTGAAAAGAGGGGAGAAGATATATGCAAAATATAGAATTTTAAATAAGATATGAAATAGTATATAAGCTGAGCATGAATTTGATTTACGTCTGTACAAAAAGTTATAACCCGGGGTTAAGCTGCTTTCTAAAAAGAAGTTTTATGTTTTTATGTTATGTGTTTTGTTAGTCTGTGTTTGTTCATTGAGGAGTAATGATGTTGGATAAGAACATATGAAATAGTAATAATATGAAATATAGTAATATGAAATACATGAAAGTATAAGTTTAATGAATAAAATTGAACAGAAATAAAGGAAGAAACAGTGAGAAGATGGAAAACAGTAATAAGATATGAAGTTGAATATATAAGATGCATATTAAATTGTGTGTGGAAACGTGATAATTTAGAACTATATAGTACTTAAATGAGATGTCTTATTTGTTTTGTTAAGTAGTTGTTAGAAAAGATGTTTTATGTTCTTATGTCTTATGTTTTGTTTGTGTACTCTCTTTGAAAATTAATAAAATTTGTTTAAAAAAAAAAATTATAACACCGAAGCCAACATTAAACTAAGAGCAGTGATAAACAAAAGAAAGTCTCCATTTGATGATCCACTAACACACTCTCCATCTATCTGTTCATCCATACACCCACACATACCCATCTGCCCATCCATACAACTCTCTCACCTGTCTCTCCATCCATCAATAAACCCACCCATCCATCCATGTCCATTGACACACCTATCTGTTCATCCTTCTACTCACACTCACATCTGTTTGTTCGTCCATCCATCCATCCATCCATCCATCCATCCATCCATCCATCCATCCATCCATCCACAGACCTACACATCCCTCTGTCTGTCCAACACACTCTCCCATTTGTTCATCCATCCAGCGAACCAACCATCGGCTCATCAGTCCATTGACAAAATCACCCATAGACCATCTGTCCATCCATATATGCACTTATCAGTCTGTCTGTCCATCCATGCAGCTAAGCACCACCTGTCTGTTTGTCCATCAACACACTT